CCCGCTCCCAGCCCTGCCGCGGCCGCGGGGACCGCTGCCTGCCGCACGCGTCCCACGGAGAGGGTGAGCAGGAACCGGGGCCGTGGGGGCAGCTCAACGCTGCCACCTGGGCTACGGGCTCCCAGCTTGGGTCAGCCAGGGGCAGCAGGGCTGACGGAGCGGGAAGGAGCGTGGGATAGCCTTGCCCCACGTCCTGCAGGTCTTTCCCTCCCTGTGCTCGAGGCAGTGCCCAGCGCCGGCCCCAGCTCTCCCCAGGACACCCCGGTCCTTGTGCCCCTCTGATTTTCCTGGGCCACCAGGCCGCCCTGGCCTCTTGGACATGGCCACGGAGAGGAATACGGCTACCTACTGGGCCGAAGAGCCGGCAGGGAACAGTGCTGGTCCAGCCATGCGAGTGACGTTTGAGTGAGGCTCTCCATGCTGGCCGTGGAGACCATGCCGTTGAAAGACTCGAAGAGAGGCCGAATGATGATACTAAACTGATAGGAGCAGAGGAGTTAAGGACCAGCCTCGCCAAGGGTGCCGTCTGCTCACCCCTTTTCCTGCTGGCTCCTGGTGCAGTAAGCACCATCCTGCAGGCAGCAGGACCAGCCTTCCCAGCTCCCTGCTGCAGAGCGGGGGCTGCTGGCTGCCCTCCTTGGCACAGCACCACGTTGGGCACCAGGCTGTGCTGCGGCGGGGAAAAAGAGACACGGACCCAACTGGGAAGTGCCCGCCTTGGAGTCCTGAATGCCCTCCTTGGGTAAGACACGTGTCCGTATGTGCAAGTGGCACCTGTGGGGACCCAAGGACCAGCATGGAGGCCTGCACCACACAGCCAAGTGCAAGTAGTGGGACAGCTTTTCCTGATCAGAGCAGGGAGGCAGCTTGCTCAGTGGCCTCCACAGGGGCCACGGAGCAGCGGACGGTACAAGGGAGTATCTTTCCTTGGGTACTCGCTGCCTCCAGGGTGACTTGTTGAGCACTGGGTGACTTCTGAGTATTTAATCATCTACAAGAGGTGCCTCTGCTGGGAACTTGCCCACTTCTCCTGGAGCCCATATCAGCTTTCATATCCCCAATGTCCTGTGGAAGGAGCTGCATAGCTCCCCATACTTGACGTGAGGAACCACCTCTGCTTTGACCCTGCTCTCTGCAGTGAGTTCTGCCTATGGCTCTGCTGCTTGTGGTTTTGCAGCCCTCAGAGAGAGCTCTTTGCAGGCTCAAGGCCTATGTGTTTAATCGCTGCTCATGTGGATGCTGGTCCAGCCCTTTGACCACCCCTGTCTCTTGGCCTCCTCCATCCTTTTTACCATGCAGAGCCCAGAACTGCCCCAGGGCATGGGCACACCTGGGTGTCCATGGGGAGCCACACTGACCATGGAGGCTATGTCACTGCATCCCCAAGTTTGTTTCTCTTCCTTTCTTCATCTGTTCTGATGGCTGCTGGCGTCTCAGAGCTAGGCCCTGTGTCAGCAGGAGCTCTTCCCTGCAAGGCGATGGTCAGCTCGGCCCTGCTGGGGACTTCTCCCTGAGCACAGACCACATACTCCTATTCTCTGTCCCCCTGTAAAGGGAGCTTCTTACCCATGGCTCTTCCGTGTGTTCTCAGCCTGTGTCATTGACTGAGACACATTCCCCCCTGGTTCCCAGATCCCCCAAAGCGGGAGGTGTCTCACACAGCTGGGGAAGAGTGGGCAGTGGAAGGGGAGAGAGCAAGGAGCAAGAGCCGGCCCCAAAGGATACGATCCAGAACTTCCAGTTCTGCAGCGTGCAGGAGCGCACGTACTCGTCGAACCTGCTGCGCATCTGGTCAAAGCGCTGCCGCGTGATGGGCACCCCGGTGGCGGGCAGCTGCTCCTGGCACAGGCTGTGGGGACACAAGAGGTGCCGTGATCCGGTGCGGCGCCTCGCTGCCCCTGGAGCGTGTCCCCAAGCCCAGGCTGAGG